AATGCAATATGGGATGAAAAAGGACAGGCTGGAATGGGGCCATGCTTTTTGTATTGAATTTCAGGTATAAGGTCACCTATGCCAATGACAGATCCAAATCAGTGCATCCCTCTGGTATGAGTCTGCCAGAATGGGATATAAATGGTGCTAGTACTAGTTTAATGATTGCCCAAAAGCAACAAAGAAGCCTTGGCTGAGGCGATCAAGTTCCTCTATGTACTGATGTAACATCAACAGACCCCAGTCACCATCGGGCAGGATCTAATCTGAGACCTTTGGAGCTAAATGCATGAGCCTCTACTGCATGAGCTAAAAGCCACATGGCCTTTGTGTGGGGCAGACTCATTAATCTTGCGCTAAGGTCTTGGTGCAACTAGAGGGGACAGAGCACCACACGCTAGAGGTGGGTGGGTTACACTGGCACACTTGAAGGCACAGAGGCGAATGTTGTTTCATGATTCTAATGTCCATGGAACGGACAAGTTTCCTGTCCCACTCAGGATTTTTTTTGGATGCTCTAAAAACTGAGAGATTATCTTAAGTGTTTTTGACTGAAATTACACAACTGGCCATACCCGGGATCTAATATTTCTCATTGATATAGAGGTGGAAAACGTGGCAGTACCCTCTTGCTTTAGACAAACTTCTTCAACTTGAAGTCAGTACATTATTGCAGGGGTAAAGGACCTATTTTCTTGCTCCATTCTCAGTAGCTCTTCAGCGGCCAAACTGCTTTAGTGATGGATTTGGTAGGCTTCTATAGCCAACTTTTGCCCTTTACCAACCGATCTGATCCTTGAAGGACAAAGCTATGGTTTCATTGTTGGTGGTGATTATCAAGGTTTTCCTTTGGAAGGGCAGAGTGCCTGACTGTTCTAAAGGAAACTTATGTGCAGTGGTATTTGGTTTCCAGATGGTCAGCCAGAGCAAGTCAAACCCAATTGGGGTAGAGACATAATTTGATTCAGAGCTGATTTGGAAAAACAAAATTGCTGCTGTAGCAGAATGACATTCTCCATCTATATTTGGCACGAAGAGTGGCATTTTATTTTCAAAATGGACCTTGTTACCATTCTACATCCCTGCTAACTCAAAACAAAGTTCTTAATAGAGATAAACCTTGGAACCACTTTGAAATTCAAGCTAATGAAGAATGATAAACAGCATAATGGGGCTGCCTGCCTGCTGAACAGTTCAGTACACCGGGACACACACTACCACAATTGCAAGAGTTGCACGGGCCTTGTGGTAAATTCTAAGATGCTATTTTCACCTATGAAGGGTCTGGTTACTTGAGGGACTGGCTCTCTCCCGGTCCCAGTTAAAATGAGCAGAAGCACTCGAGCCAGATCTCTGTCTATGTGGAAAAGAGGCAGGCACTGGCAATATGTTCTTTGTATAGAATTTTGACACTATAATTGGCTTCCCTCTTTGTTCTATCAGAGGTTGCAAAATCCACCTTTTCCTCACAGGCATCAAAGCAGACTGAGTCAAGAGACTGGTCAAGAGACTGAAAGATGATGAAGCTGAGAAGTAGGATATTTCTTGGTTGGAAAGTATTAATTGGAGAATTTGTAAATGGAAAATTGAGGGGGCAAAGATAAAACCTTACAGATTACATAACCACATCATGCTTATTCACATCATCTAAACATATTCTTCAATGTTCATTGTAATAAAAAGCATGAGATTTTGTGCTCTGAGAATCACATGTATAAAATGAAATATGAAATAAAATGTTGTATAGAATATTCCAGGGGTCTACCTTTATTATGTGACATGTTACAAACTTGAAATAAATTTGGTTGTGTATCCTTATGATGTATACATAACCACCTCCAGATTTTTATGGTTACAGCAGGGAAAGGAAACACTAAGAGATTATATGTTTTTTATGTCAATTAATAGCAATAGTAACCTAAAAATCAAATAATAGATTTACACACATTTGTAAAATTAGAATGCTGTAGAACTGAGTCTGAATCTCGCAAGAACAAAGCTCTGGAGTTGAGAAGTTATGGTTTTAAAAAGGTATAGTTTGCTGCATGACCTGGTGTACAAAATAAAGATGAAGAGTCATTTTCTTAAGGCTCAGAAAACATGCTTTTAGAAACCAAAATGTTTAATTCTTTTTCAGTTTTCCAATGTAGCTTTTAAAAAACAAACACTTGTTTAAAACATCTTAATGGCAATGCTTAATGGGCTGAAGGCAATCTGTGTTAATGCAGTCTACATTGGAATGGGTTTCTCAATCCTAATATCTTCAGCTTGGAAATGGAGAAAACAGATTTAGCTAACTTCCTTTTATTGTTAACTTTAGCAAAATAAGGCATGAGTCCTACCTACTACATGTCACGTTATTTAATTAAACACATTACAGTTTGTGTTGAAAATGCATGTTAGCCTATTGCAGTGATTAAAATGTAAAACTCTGAAGCCAAATTTCTGATTTAAAACTAGCACTATAATAATATTAATACACCAGATAATATACTACTGAGGGTTACAAGCAGCATCTGTTTAACTAAGACTGCAAAACTAGTTTCCATTGTGTCCCCCTTCTTCCAATTTAACACAAACCTCACTTTCAACTATATTCACTTTCTGGAATGTTTGGTCTTCCCAAAGGTGATTTTTTTAAAAAATATTTGAACAAAATCCCTTTGTTTTTAGAGCTGAAAGCACGAGGAAAAAAGGTTTTCCCAATGTAAAATTATTATAGCCACATTCCAACAGGTCTAAATAAATGTCTTGAAATTTGGCATGAACATAGTGCTGCCGAGGATGAGTGCCTCTGTTTGCAGAGGTTGGTAGACAGCACCTTTAAATTCCCTCCTCCACCCTAAAAAAAACCCCAACACACACAAAAAACACAAAACAAAACAACAAAAAAGCAAGTTTAAACTATCAGGTCATTTTTACGTATATGCTCAGAGTTTTCAGGTACCCAGGTTGAAAATTTTGGTATTAACTTCTGGATCACCTAACTTTTTATTATATTTTTAAATGTGGAACCATAAATGTTGCATTAACATTGACTTTTAAAAAAAATTGGAAAACATTCAGTCACTTTTATAACAGTGATGCAGCTGTAGTTATGACAGTTATAGTCATTGTCAATTCCGTCTCTGCCTGAATCTTTCTATCCATTGATCTGGTGTTTGATATCATACTTTGATACTAGGGCATCTGATTACCTTAACTTTGTTTTAGTTCATTTAAAATATATAAATGGCATTCAAATTTGTTCTGAAGGAACTAACAAAATTAAGAAGAATAAAAAAGTTAAGGAAAGCTGAGGGTCATTATATCCATACATATATGGAGATGATCTGTCTCTTATAGCCCCAGAAAACAACACTTTCAGTATAATGTTACCCCTTTTGACATGAGGGGTTAGCCAATATTCAAGGTATTTGTGTGTTGTTTCCAGTGCTTAATTTGTCCCAGGGTTTGCCAGGGCCAAGTCCCAGCACCTCTAGACTTGGCACTTCATAGCCCCAGCACCTCTGGGTTTGCTGCATCAGTTATGAATATAAAAATAAAATTGCTTGAGCCTCAGCACCTCTTTCATTACAAATTAAGCACTGGTCATTTCCATTGGTGTCTCTTCCAATGGAGTGTGGTATTTCTGTGATGCAATCCTGTTTATTTCCAAAGAATGTACACAATGTCCTATTTCCCTGACCACAGTAGGACGCCAGAGAGTTTCCTCACTCAAGACTCCAAGCCACTTTTTTCCAGCCAGCACTCTAACACAAAAGCTCTCTCTTAGCCTTCTCTTGAGGTCACACTTCAAGTACTTCCCTGGCTGTCCATTACCTTCTCTGTCTGTTTCTCTGGTGTTTCTGGCTGCATCTCCCTCTCTCATATTCCTGCCTCCCCCACCAAGCAATACCAAGCCCTCTGCATTTTGCCTTCAAGGAAAACCCTCCACCCACATAGCTCAGCTCCTGACTGACCTTAAGTGTGGCCTGCATTCTGGCTGATAGCTCCTATTGTTTCAGATATTTTACCACAACAGCAGCTTATCTGTTTCTTTTATATAGTGAGAATGAAGGGAAGTTGTTACAGTCACCAGCTTAATCAAGGTTTCAGCCAGTCCCTAGCAAAATAATAAATTTCCCAGCTTAAGATTCATACAGCACCTTTCATACTGAAGAGTCTAAGAAAGGACTTTTTAACATTCACTTTCATCCATTAAACCTTTGACATTGCCCTCCTGCTAAATGTACTATACAGTAGTTTTCCATTGACTGGACTGAAGTTTAATTTCTCTACCCTTAAGTAACTGTACAGAGGTGTATATTACATTTTTTACATGTTTACAATAGCAGCAAGCCACCGATTCATTTTTCTTAACTTTGAACATCTCTTATAGCATTGTTTCCACTGTTTATGTTACAGTAAGACAACATCTGTCAAAATTTTATCTAAATGTTTGTTCTCATTTTGTATCCCCAAACATTTTATAGCCATTGCTTCTGTAATCACAGCATAAGCCTTAGTTCAGAAACAACAAATAGAAGAAGATTGATTTCCATCTCAAAAATGTCAAACTTCTACCTATAATGCTCAGCTATGTTTTTCTGAAACAGCAAAGTTCAAAAAGAGCCATCGATCTGACAGATTTTTGACATGTCATGATAGATGCGATGGGTCTACTACTTTACTGCCAAAAATGTCCTCCAACAGAATGAGGCAATGAATGAAGAAGAATAAATCTAAACTGAATAGAATTGCTTGTTATAAATGTATAAGAGGAAAAACAACAGGCACTTCACATCTCTGGAGACAAACTCCTGCTTTTATAAAACCTTATACTAACACTTATTTCATCTTGGATAATACTTGTTATCATCTAGATCAATTATACAGGGGCAACATTATCTAAAGCCAATATTCATAAGCAGCTAAAAACCATCCTGAAATTATTTAGCCAGAGGACAAGGAAAAATAAACAAACAGTCTATAGTAACAAAACAATAGGTTCTACTTACCCTATTGTCTTGTCTCTCTGTCAGCTAGCCAAATGACAGCTGCTTCAAGTGTGTCAGGTGAATTATATCCCCATCTTCCTAGAAGACAGTGGTATTGATTAATACTACATCAAGGTCTTTACCTCAAGTGCACAGTGTGGATGCATTTCATTTTCTTTCAGAACATTGCCATGTTGGAGATAAATTATAGCAAGTTTGGAAAAGTAAATCTTACATTCATAAGTCAGAGCATTTCATAAGGAGCATTGGTTTGATTTATAACTAATGTCTCACAGTGTATCCCATCATCTACACTTCAGGTAACAGCCTCTACTTCCACGATAGAGAAAAATATTCTCATGTGCATATTTTCTTATGGCATTTGACCAAAGAACTAACAAAGCAAGCACAAAGTCAACTCAAACATGACACTTTAAAACACAGTTTATTATGCTTACATGAGGCACATTTAACATTTACAGTAAGTATGCTCAATAAAACTAAAGTGCTGTATGAATAGATGGATGGTTACTTCTGAATGTGTATGATTTCAAAAACAGATCAATGTATCACTATGTCACATTTCTAATTTCCTTACACCACAGGCATTGGAGCTATATTTAAAATCACAGAGATACTATCTTAAATGAAAACCAACACACACATACACAGAAATAAAACAGAAGCAAGTGAAAGCCAGCTCACCAAAATTCTGAAAACCATTTTTAAATATGAGAATCCCTATGGCTAAAGAATGCCCACTTTTAAAAAAAAATGATTTCTTTGCTTTCAGTCAACAATTTTCTTAGGCTGCTATTGCACAAAATAAATTTATATACAAGTGAGAAAGCATTGCAGTATTCTGGTATAGCACATTTGTTGAAATAAAGTGGCTCTTTTCTAAATAGGTCATGTAGAATCGGAGTTGAAAATTAAAAACGGGTATTGAACACAAAAAAGTATTGTAATTAAATGGTTATGAACAAACATGAAAAGACATAGAAACTGGAAAGGGCAAAACCCACTTATTTTGTGAAGATGTGTACATCTACCAGAAACACAAATAAATAGCTTTCATACATACATGCATTTTATAGTATACTCTTAAAATGTACATAGTCTTCCCTCAGATTTGAATGTGTGCAACACTTGACATTTCCTGTGATAAGGCTCCCGCTTTCCCCCCCCCTCTTCAATAAAGGGGGAGGAGAGAGAGAGAGAGAGAGACAGACACACACACACACCTTATAGCATTCTGTACATATGCACAAAATATACTCAAACAAACAAACAAAAATACAACCTATCAATTATCAGCCTGACTGTAATATCATGTAATCTTTATAAGGCACATATTCAGCTTACAAACGAACAAGCAGAAGTGTCTGCAAGGCAACACTCGACTCATCAACTTTAAAAATGTACTACTTCTGAGGTCTGTTTAGTATTGGCTAAAGTGAAAAAAATTGAACTGAAAGGTAACTTGCTTTGCTGCACAACACCGCCTTCAAAAGGAGAAATCAGAGTAAACCTTATCAATCAATCCCTATGAATAATTGGCAACTCCCTGGAATTATAAAACAGACAGTACTGTACACTTCAGTTGGTACCATCATCTATTTAGCAGTGCCACTGCGATAGCTAAATAAATCTTTTACTCTATCTCATACAGCAATGGCTCCACCGCCTCTAATTCTGCAGTAATAAAACAGGGTACGTTTGATTAAGGTAGGTCTCTCTCCAGGCTTTGTGGCAGTAAGGCTTTTGCATTATCCATAACAACACTAGCAACAGTTGAAAAATATTATTGAGCACACATTCTTGAAGGAGGCGGTTCGAATACCAAACAACAAAAAACAGCTCCCAGTTTTTAAGCATAGCCACACTTTAAAAAACCTCAAGCTAGAATCAGGGTTTTAATTCATCCAATTATGCTTCTTAACAAGGCTTGGGTGAAACATTTATGTTTAGAAGGAATAGGGTAGTATCCCTTTAAACTACCTTGAGAACTCTTGTGGCACTCATTGTGTTCTATGTTTTAGAAGCTGTAAGAAACCAGTCAGAGGAGCAGTTTGTATGTACCTAGGCATTGCATGTTTGGGTACATTTAGTGAGCTTGGTTATTTGAAGCTAGTTTCTTTATTATAAATATTTATATATTTAGTGGAAAGAAAAATACACAGCCCCATCACAAAATTGTGTTACTTGGAAATTTCATTTAGAAGTGTCTTTGTTAGAGGATAATTTCATAATACTATAACATACTTTCCACATCAGTTTTTTGAATGCCCAGATGATTTATTGGTTGTGATTAGTAATGAAGTAGTGGCTCTGGTTTCCTGATTGACTGAGCCTGCTCTGTGTGGTCAGGAAGGTGAGTAGACACTACTCTTTGGCAAAAGAAGGGGCTGTGTGAGGATGCGCCATCCTTTTCAATGATAAGGCAAAGGAACATGTAATAGACACACCAAACCAACTGAAAGGGAGGGAGACAGCTGCCTACTGGTCACCTTTAGGGATGTAGACATTTGTCTTTGCCAAATTTAAAGGGTCACTGCCAGAAAAATCATGCTGCAAAATGTTTCTCTGAAAAGGTGAGCATCCACTTGGGAGGTCAGGGGTGGGCAAACTTTTTGGCCTGAGAGATGCATCTGGGTATGGAAATCGTATGGCAGGCCATGAATGCCTGGTGGGGAAGGGGACTTTATGGGGTGTAGCATTGGGGGCTCTATAAAAGGATGTTACCACGGTGGGAGGAGTGGGGGGACTCATGGGGTGTGGCATGGAGGGGCTCTTACAGGGGTGATATTGGGGACTCCTAGGGGCCCTGCTGGCAGTGACACCAGGGCAGCTGCCACAGGTGGAGGCACCCTAGCTGGGACAAGCGCAGCTCCTAGGCTCTCGAGGGTGGGGCTGTAGGAGACCAGGAGGGGACTGGCATGCAGCCATGTAGAGGCAGGGTTCCAATCCCCAAAACAGCACGGTGAAGTTGTGCCTGCACAGTGTGGCTCTGTGTGTGCCGGAAGATGGTAGAATTGTGAGTTGGGGGCTGGGGAGTGCTGGGCGGGTGGAGTAGGGCAGACCCCCGGCCCCGCTCCCCAGCTGGAGCACTGGATCAGGGCAACCCCCCAATCCCCCTCCCCGGTGGGAGCTCGAGGGCTGGATAAAAACGTCTGACAGGCTGGAAGCGGCCCACAGGCGATAATTGTGAAAATAGTGGCTTGAGGGGAAGAGGCTGAATTCCTATGTATTTGATGGCAAGACTTCTAGCTGAAAGATATCCCTAGTATTCCATGTTGGGCATGGTATTTGAAATCTCCCTCTGCACCGTTCATGTTTCTGTAAAAAAAAACCAAGATGCAATTTTGATATCATGATGTGTTTCTAGTGATGGAAGTACACTAAATGCAACACTTACATAATGAAAAGTGGGATCTCTGCATGCCAAAGACAAAAGGCATTGGCAGGGCATTTGCCATTTCCAACAACTGAGGAAACTACACAAGAGCCCAAAAACCATGAAGAGCTAGCAGTCCATCCTAATGTACCAGTTGTAATACTATCAGAGGAGCTGCCTGGTGATGGAGCGAGCAAAGTGCCCTCTTTCATGACTACCACCTCATGACACACTAGTTACCTGCATTACCACCTGAAAAAAAACGTTGTCCTCCAGCTGCACAACAGCAGGATGAACCTGTGTTTCTTAGTGAATGACTAGTGCTCATAATACTCCATAGCCTGCTCAAGACCTATCGTATTGTGTTAGACAAGCACCAAAAGGAAGTCGATTACATCTCTGGTCCATTGCATTCCCCTCCTCCAAAGAAAGATCTAGCATTTGTTCCCCTTCCTTGAAATTGCCAACACCTTATTGCCTCAATTTGATCTTCTGCTCTAGTTTAGAGGTGAAAGGCTAGGTATAGAAGTGAAAGCACTTTCATCCTTGGCTACTTTTGCCCTGAAAGAGCTAGGGTGTCTGAACAATTGTATCTGTTCCTTCCTAGGCCAATGATACTTCTGTATGAAATTTCAGATGTGTGAAGTATGACAGCAAATGTAGATTTCAGAAGCTGGTCTCCATATATACACGTGACTTTAAAGTTTTGTGGAAAATGTAATGTTGAGTATTAGAAATCTGTGTGAAACAAATTCATGAATTTTTGTCATGTGAAATTTTCAAAGGCCCTCCCATGCCTACCAATTGCGTGTTTCCTGCTGTAGTGCACTGAATCATGAATAGACCAGTGACTGGAAGACTACTATTGCACTCTATATTCCCTAAACTTACAAAACAGTCCACAAACCTACAAAATGAAAGGGGGTGGGGGAGTTAGGACCATAGCATCCAGAATGTGGAAGAGATCAGATTTTTTTTTTAAAGAAACAAATCTCAGCCATGTGTTTTTAGTTGTATGTAATTACATATGTGCAAAGACCACAGCTGCATCTGGACCACAAATTTATGCCCTGCCCAGATCATTAACAAATTAATTGACAGCATGTTTTACAACCTCCACAGAGTTTGGCTAACTTTCACTGTTCCCACTGACCTTCTACTGGTGATTCTGTCCTGATAGGGGCATGGATTCAGATGTAGGAAGCCAAGTTTGGAATCATTCTCCCTTACATAACTGACCTTTATTTTTGTTGAAATCAAGAGGTATAAATTCAGGGCTTGAAATGGACCATCTCAAGGTAGCTTAGTAACCTGGATTAGTTTTCTTGTTTTCTGTGAGAGGAAGATTTTTTTCTTTCTGCCAAAACTTAAGCTATAATTGAAAAATACTATGTCCCTAAGCCCTCAGAGCCCTGAATAAAACTTTCTAAATATGAACCAAGTATAAACAAAACAGTAAAGTCTGCCTGTGTTTGCAGATAGTTCAGACCTTTCAGCACTATTGCTTCAGACTCATTTTTCCAGTACATTGTCAGATGCCTAACAATGATAATTTAAACGTCACTATTTAGCCATTTCATTGCTGATCAAACCCTATGAAGAAGAAAGAGGATTGTATTACAAAAATGTGCACAAACTACCATGACAGACACCTCACCTTGGTGCAATGAGCATTTTCTGTCTTCCCTCCCCCCCCCCATTA